TTTTTTGCCACCTTTCCTCTTTTTACCTAGAGTACTAAATACGCCTCTGTTAGATCTGCCTTCAGCAACAATTCGTCTTATGGTAGTATTTAGAAACACCTGAAATAAACCAAAGCTTAGTATACATAATACACACGAAAATGCAATAAACCAAAGTATCAAGACGTGTCATTCCTACTAACCAGTTAACGCTTGCACATGGCTCAATATCGATGATTGTGTTTGTTCTGCACCTTGTTCATCAAGTATTCTTTGATAAACATTGAAAACAATATTTCTTGCTTGCCATCGAAGAGGTTTCTTCGACATTTTCACCACTTTTTAAAGGAAATTTGAAGCCAAACCAAAAGCAATTCTTCGAAATTTCAGTTTTGACAGATGACATTTTTTTTGTTGCCATATGAAAATCGCTATTTTTTTAACTTTTTTTTTGCCGTCAGATTCTGGTAGACTTATAGGTACCTTCACTAACTCTATGGGTATTGGCAAATGGCAACCACAGATTAGTATAATAGTTACTACGTAACGGCAACCATAGATAATAGACATAAATCAACTGGCAAGGTTTTCGATTTTCATAGATAGTAGACTAATTTAAAAGCAGTGCTGCCAGATCAAATTTGTTTTTTAGTGTTTTTAGAAAGTTATGGTGGGTAGAAGTAGGGAGCACCATCTCAGAGCATTAAAGAGCCCGCTGAAAGGGAGTCAATTAAGGTGGAGCCATAGCAGCAAGTGGAAAGATTTTAAAAACAGCGCTATAAACTACCACACTTCACTTCAATCCAGCATACTTCACTCTGTTCAAAACTGCTATTCATATTATCATTTCCAATTCCTACACTAGCACTATTACGGTAAGTCTTCCGATTTTTTTTGTTTTTCCTACCAACATGGTAGCCTTATAGAGCTATGCCAGCGTCACTGAGCGAGTAGGTGAGCTCATGGGACTCTAACTTGAGGACGTTCTTTTCCGAATATTTTCCGCCGTGAAGCAGTAATGCGTTTCGGTTCGAAGGGTGGGGTAGCCGTTGTAACTATACTGAGACCTTAGAACTTATATTTCGAGGTGGGTGGCGCATTTACGTTGTAGATGTCTATGGGCTCCAGTAACCACTTAACACCAGGTGGGCTGTGAGCTCGTCCATCCATCTAAGCAATAAAAAAAAACGTTGCTAACATTAGCTCTAGCAAGAGCAGTGCTTCGCAGAGTCTACCATCTGATCGGAAACTCGACTCGCTGAGAAGATCCGACGAGAATCTCAGCGGACTTAATAGAGCTGAAGGCGTCTAATGCCTCTTGCATTACTGAATCTGGTGGATCCGTAAGGACGTGTCTAGGGCGTCGACGGTGATTGGCTCCTGCGTGAGCAGGATTCGGGGAGTAGTCATGACGCATAGCTTTATCGAAGTACCGTTCCGACGATGACTTCATGTGTTTTCGGATCGATTCGAGGCTCAGGTCGTCGTGTAAGCCGACGTTTCTCACGAACCACGGATCTCCGATGGCTAAAACCGGCGCGAGTCCTTCTAAGAAATTAAGCGTTATAGGGCACGTATTTGAATACGATTTTCCTCGGTAGGATAGCTATCATAGGTGCGGATCGAGGCGTTTTTGGCTCTAAGGAGTTCCCAAACATCGTCGGGCAATTTGAAGCGCTGAAGAAAGTCCTCCACTATAACTATCGCTTAATACCAGGTGGGCTCGTCCACAAACCTAAGCAATAAAAAAAATAAAAAGTAAATAACTACTCTCGCCGGATCTCTTCTCATTGGGTCGCAATTCCGAACTGGTCGTAGAGGCAGCGAAGCACTGCTCATATTAGGGCTAGCGTTAGCAAATTCTCTCAGGTTGAGTCCATGAGCCCACTTAGCAGTCCGTGCATTGCTGGAATAGCCCCTTAGGCTACAAACAATTAGGTAACTACTGACAAGTGGGCCGTATAGTCACCGACCATGCTTGCAACTATTCGAAGAGATCAAGGTTTTTATTTCAATTCCACTAATTTGGGATATTTTGTTTCTACGTATAAATTATAAAAAGCAGAAAAAAAACCAAGCGAAGATAATTTCAAGCTACGTGTCCACCAGTCTACTAAGAGGATATGAGCTAAAATACATGTTTATCAATTACTGTTAACAAAAACAGTCCGCGAATTTTATCATATTATAATCTATTCTAGATAGTTTTAATCATTGCCATGTTAACTTACGAGTAATAAGAGAATTAGTGCAATCAGTAGTCAGTACTGTCAGTAGTCTCAGTTCAGTATCAGTACGCGGTGACGCGGCTTTAGAAGTGGTTGTGTATAAAATATTTTCATCGAATATCAAGAATTGTATTGTAACAATGATTAAAAATAATGTGGTTTACGGAGGACCGGTCCTTAAGGTGGACGCCCATTTGTCTTTCGGACAATATATTATAGACAGGTTACAAGATAACAGTCAAGAAGAAGACGCAGTAGCACTGGTGATTGATTGTATTTTTATATGTAAATAACTAACCTAAACAGTAAACGAGTGTCAAGGACAAAAAAATTGTTGTAGATCTTACATTTTAATGCAATAAAATAAGTTATTTGACTCTTCTTGTGCACAAAAAAGGAATTCAATAATAATTATTAGGTATATTCCATATGTAGGTACCTATGAAGAAGATTTTTATGATCTAAGATAAATCGTTCGGAAATTCTTAAATTCCGAACGCTTACTACATTTAAAATATTACGCTTCTAAGTAGGAAACTAAATGATGACCGTTTTTTTTTTTGATAACGCCATCTTGTTGTGTATTTAAAGCGGTTAGTTGCTCTCAATTAAGAAAAATAGTATTATTATTCGCCAATAGATGTCGGGAAGAGTCATAAAGTTCATTATTGATAAAGCTGATTATTGAAAACACGAAACAATTTAAGATAACAGATAAGGTGTGATTGCTGTTTTTTTGGCGAGGAAACTTCGATCGTGGCGGGTGTCTTTTTTTTTCTTGTTTTAATTTAATTTGATAATTTTTGCGTAAATAGATTAGGAAAGTTTGTTTAAGCTGTAAATACTTTTATTTATATTTAGATTTTAGTTTTTGTATATATATATTTCTTTATAGGGTAAGTTTTTAGTAGAATTTTAAAAACTAGGAGGTTAAAAGTTAAAAAAACTATAGATGGTAATACTGTGTTTAATGATACAGAGACGGTGGTCATTACATTTGATGGACAAATTTTACCAACTAGGATATATATGTGCTATACAGCATTGTCTGTAGATTTATATATTTACCCAACCATACAATGCTATAATTGTTGCCGGTATGGTCATATTAAGAGCCAGTGTAGATCTAAGCCACGCTGCTTTAAGTGTGGACAGGAACACTCTGGAGATTCATGTACTGTTGATGATGATTTGATTCAGTGCTTACACTGTTCATCAAGTTCACATACAGCTATAAGTAAGAGCTGCCCCGAACATGCAAGACAACGCTCTATTAAAGAATCCATGGCCAAAAGTTCGATTTCATATACTGAATCTGCAAAATTACATCCACCTATCAATCGATCTTATTCTTCTGTAGTATCCTCTCCTTCTACTTTGAAAATGAATCTGATTGATTCTTCTTACAACCTTCCCAATCAATCTTCACCACTAAGATCATATAAAAAAACTGTCTTCATAAAGCCAAAATCTCCTTCTAATAGGGTCACAAAAGGATACGATAGAAAGTCACATGAATCTTTAATAAGAGATTACAATCCACCAGAGCCCTTAATGGATGTGCTTTGGATCCCGAAATGAATACTCAATCTATAGCAGATATTATTAATTTACTGATAAAATTACTTTCACAGTTTAACAATTTTACATCTTCTTCGTCTTCTTCACCATCCAACGTTGCCCCTATTTTTGATATTCTAAATAACATTATTAATAACCATGGCCAAGGTGGTTCATTGGAATTGCCGCAGCGTTGTCAACAAAAAACCTGATCTAATTTATTTGATAAATAAATTAGATCCCATCATTGTTTGTCTTCAAGAAACCTGGCTTAAGCAAGGTTTTCCATTTAAAATTCCTGGCTTCTCTATTGTAAGAGAAGACAGGTCAGATGGGTATGCTGTTGTAGGCATACTCATTAAGTCTCATCTTCCTTTTTCAATAATTTCTGTCCCTTTACATAGTGATTCTTTTTCTATTACTGCAGTTAAAGTTAATAATATCTGTTATGCTTCTATATACATCCCTTACCCTTCCTTAGCTACTCTTCATGAAGTTTATTCTATTCTCTCTCATCTACCTCAACCTTTCCTCCTAATGGGTGACTTCAACTGCAGTCACATGTCTTGGGGCAGCCCATCTAATAATTACTATGGTAGTGAATTACTGGAAATTATTGATTACCATAATTTATGTGTTTTGAATTCTGGGTCTCCCACCCCACGTTCTAGAGCGAGTTCAAATGTTCTAGATCTGTCTATTTGTTCGGCTAATTTAGCTTCCTCTCTTAACTGGTCTACCTTCTCGTCGACGCTTGGTAGTGATCATTACCCTATTATAATAAATTTTCCTTTTAAAAATATTAATACGAATACTCAAAAACCTCGAATGAAATATAGTATCAGAAACAACGACTGGGATGTATTTAGACAAAATGTAGATATGAAAATTAACCAGATGCAGTCTGATTACTGTTCTGCTGACAGCTTCACTCAAATATTGATTGAAGCAGCGGATGAATCATTTCCAGTTAAGAGGGTCTCTAAGGGGAAAATCCCCTCCCCACCTTGGTGGGACAATGAATGTTCTGAGGCCATTAAAAGTAGAAAGGAAGCTGAAATGAATTATTTAGCATATACTAGTTTTGAAAATTTCGATTTACTCTCAAAATCTATCTATCACTGAGACCCGTAAACTTTTTAAGAAAAAAAAGTTTGACAGCTGGAGAAAGTTTTGTTCTGAAACTTCGCCTGATATTCAGCCTAGTGCTGTTTGGCAGAAAATCCATAGGTTTAGATCGCTTTACAAAGAATCTAAATCTACTGTACTTCCTTACACTATAGCAAATGAGTTTTTAAGTAAGTTATCTCCTCCTTCAGTACAATTTCCCAACATTCCTCTTCCAATATCAGATTACTCAGAATTGAATTCTCTTTTCTCCTTTAACGAGCTGCAGGGTGTTCTCTCGGTTGTTCGGGACTCAGCTCCGGGGCCGGACGGTATTCCTTATTCTTTTCTCTCAAATTTGACTGACAATGCGAAAACTTATTTTTTAGACATTATTAATCATATTATGGTTTCCGGTTCTGTTCCAATGTTTTGGAAAGAACAAATAATTATTCCAATTTTAAAACCGAATAAACCGTCTGATAACGCACTATCATGCCAATTGCTCTTTCATCAGTTTTATTGAAAATAATTGAACATTTAGTAAAAAATCGACTTGAATTCTTTGTCGAAAGTAATTGCTTATTGGCTGAAAGTCAATATGGCTTTAGGCGAGGGAAGAGTGCGCTTGATGGTATCAGTATATTTACTACGGATATTAGACTTGCTTTTAGCGAAAATAAATCAATCCTTTCTGCTTTTTTAGATATACAGTCAGCATATGACAATGTTGTAATTTCTGTACTTAAACATAAGTTGCTTATCATTAAAACACCTCCGTTACTTATTAATATTATCATTAATTTACTCCTTGATAGATCTTTATCTTTAACGGTCGATGATAACTCTGTAGTTTCTAGGATCTTGACTAAGGGCCTTCCTCAAGGCTCAGTATTGAGTCCTATTCTCTACAATATTTATACCCACGACTTGGAAGTGTTTTGCAATATGCTGATGATTTACTTTTATATAATGCCAGTCAGTCAGTACAAGAAGCTAGTGTAGCTATAACATCTAATTTGTGCCTTTTTTTAAAATGGCTGGATAGTAATGGTTTGGATTTGTCTGCGTCCAAAAGTAGTGTTGTTCTTTTTAGTCGAATGCGACGTCCAGCAGAACCTAATGTTTTTTATGAGAACCTTAAAATCCCTGTAAAAAAGAAGTAAAATTTCTTGGTGTTGTTTTGGACTCAAAACTCACAGGCATTCCTCATTGTAATTACGTAGTTTCGAAATGTGAACGCAGCTTGAACATTTTGCGTTGTCTTTCGGGCGTTTGGTGGGGTGCTCACCCATTTTGTCTAAAGCTACTTTACAATGCATTGATTAGAAGTGTTCTTGATTACGGTACTTTTATTTTAGAGCCTGGCAATATTTCTGCCTTTAAAAAACTTGATTTAATACAGTCAAAATCTTTAAGAATTGTATGCGGTGCTATGAAGTCAAGCCCCATAAATGCTTTACAAGTAGAATGTAATGACCCGCCTCTGTATTTACGCAGACAATATTTATCGGATAGATATCTATTCCGTTCGTTTCAATTTTCTAATCACCCATTGAGATCAAAGTTGAATTATCTTTGTGAACATATAAACACATCTCCATATTGGAAACATAAGCAGCCTGAGTCTCCTACCCACTGTTCTAATTATCTTCCTCTATTTTGTTTTAGTTATGACTCTTTAATTTTGAATCCGAATGTTAATTTAAATTTCCTTAGTTCAAATCGTCATCAATCTAATTCTGAATTCAAATCCCTTGTGAACGAAAACTGGCAAGGATATCATTCTATTTTCACCGATGCATCTAAAATAAAAAACAGTTGTGTTGGTATTGGTGTATATCATCCCCAATACAAGATTGTTCAAAAAGTGAAGTTCCCTAAAGAAACATCTGTATTTACGGGTGAATGTGTGGGCTTATTAAAAGCTGTAGAATACATTTTACTATCTAAATTGAACCAAACAATAGTTTTTTCTGATTCTAAGAGCGCTCTGCAGGCTATAATGAGATTCCCATTTAAATCTCGTAATTCGAATCCCGTAAACCTAGAAATAAGAAATATAATTTTTCAGTGCATGAATCTCAATTTAAAGATCAGCTTTGCTTGGATTCCAAGTCATTGTGGAATTAAAGGTAATGAAATAGCTGATACCTTGGCCAAGGAAGCTATAACTTGTGGGGATGTTTTCCCTTTTAAAAATTATACATGTGATTTGGTGAACTTGTCTCAAGATTTCCTTCATTCTAGTTGGCAGAGTAGCTGGACTGAATCAAGCCAGTCAAAAAGGAAATCTTATAGTACTATTCAACCCGCAATACCCTCAAAGCCGTGGTTTTTCAAAATTCATTTCGCTAAACGTGTAACAACATGTCTCATTCGCATGCGATTGGGACATGTTTCCACTCCAGCCCATCTATTTAAATTCAAAATTGTTGATAGTCCAGCCTGTGATTGCGGTGCTGAGGTCTGTGACGTTAATCACATTTTCTTTTCTTGCTCTCTAAATGATTGCTCTTCTTTCTATTTAAATTTGATTTCATTACGTATTCCTTTTCCTACTTCCATTATGTGTCTTTTATCTACGAATTCTCCTAATGTATACAGTTTATTGTCTTTATTTATATTATCTAATGATGTACATATATAATTTAATCTTATTTATATATGTATTTTCATATATTCTCTAACTTTCCTAATCACTCCCTTGCGAATCCGTTAAAAATCCCAAGCTTTTATTTTGCTTTGTGGCAAATGCGCAAGCCGCGCGAGCCAAAATCAAGCAGAAGAAGAAGAAAACACGAAAACACAGTAACCAGTGTTGAGACGAGAACTATTTTTTCTACTTTAGTAGCTTTATAATTTTGGTAATCCGATAAGTATTAAGAAATCCAGCGAAATTGCTTATTCTTANACACTATAGCAAATGAGTTTTTAAGTAAGTTATCTCCTCCTTCAGTACAATTTCACAACATTCCTCTTCCAATATCAGATTACTCAGAATTGAATTCTCTTTTCTCCTTTAACGAGCTGCAGGGTGTTCTCTCGGTTGTTCGGGACTCAGCTCCGGGGCCGGACGGTATTCCTTATTCTTTTCTCTCAAATTTGACTGACAATGCGAAAACTTATTTTTTAGACATTATTAATCATATTATGGTTTCCGGCTCTGTTCCAATGTTTTGGAAAGAACAAATAATTATTCCAATTTTAAAACCGAATAAACCGTCTGATAACGCACTATCATGCCAATTGCTCTTTTATCAGTTTTATTGAAAATAATTGAACAATTAGTAAAAAATCGACTTGAATTCTTTGTCGAAAGTAATTGCTTATTGGCTGAAAGTCAATATGGCTTTAAGCGAGGGAAGAGTGCGCTTGATGGTATCAGTATATTTACTACGGATATTAGACTTGCTTTTAGCGAAAATAAATCAATCCTTTCTGCTTTTTTAGATATACAGTCAGCATATGACAATGTTGTAATTTCTGTACTTAAACATAAGTTGCTTATCATTAAAACACCTCCGTTACTTATTAACATTATCATTAATTTACTCCTTGATAGATCTTTATCTTTAACGGTCGATGATAACTCTGTAGTTTCTAGGATCTTGACTAAAGGCCTTCCTCAAGGCTCAGTATTGAGTCCTATTCTCTACAATATTTATACCCACGACTTGGAATCTTCTTTTAATGGTAGTATAAGTGTTTTGCAATATGCTGATGATTTACTTTTATATAATGCCAGTCAGTCAGTACAAGAAGCTAGTGTAGCTATAACATCTAATTTGTGCCTTTTTTAAAATGGCTGGATAGTAATGGTTTGGATTTGTCTGCGTCCAAAAGTAGTGTTGTTCTTTTTAGTCGAATGCGACGTCCAGCAGAACCTAATGTTTTTTTATGAGAACCTTAAAATCCCTGTAAAAAAAGAAGTAAAATTTCTTGGTGTTGTTTTGGACTCAAAACTCACAGGCATTCCTCATTGTAATTACGTAGTTTCGAAATGTGAACGCAGCTTGAACATTTTGCGTTGCCTTTCGGGCGTTTGGTGGGGTGCTCACCCATTTTGTCTAAAGCTACTTTACAATGCATTGATTAGGAGTATTCTTGATTACGGTACTTTTATTTTAGAGCCTGGCAATATTTCTGCCTTTAAAAAACTTGATTTAATACAGTCAAAATCTTTAAGAATTGTATGCGGTGCTATGAAGTCAAGCCCCATAAATGCTTTACAAGTAGAATGTAATGACCCGCCTCTGTATTTACGCAGACAATATTTATTGGATAGATATCTATTCCGTTCGTTTCAATTTTCTAATCACCCATTGAGATCAAAGTTGAATTATCTTTGTGAACATATAAACACATCTCCATATTGGAAACATAAGCAGCCTCCCCTTCTTGTAGTAAGCTATAGAAAATTCTTATCATTAGAGTCTCCTACCCACTGTTCTAATTATCTTCCTCTATTTTGTTTTAGTTATGACTCTTTAATTTTGAATCCGAATGTTAATTTAAATTTCCTTAGTTCAAATCGTCATCAATCTAATTCTGAATTCAAATCCCTTGTGAACGAAAACTGGCAAGGATATCATTCTATTTTCACCGATGCATCTAAAATAAAAAACAGTTGTGTTGGTATTGGTGTATATCATCCCCAATACAAGATTGTTCAAAAAGTGAAGTTCCCTAAAGAAACATCTGTATTTACGGGTGAATGTGTGGGTTTATTAAAAGCTGTAGAATACATTTTACTATCTAAATTGAACCAAACAATAGTTTTTTCTGATAGTTTTTTCTAAGAGCGCTCTGCAGGCTATAATGAGATTCCCATTTAAATCTCGTAATTCGAATCCCGTAATCCTAGAAATAAGAAATATAATTTTTCAGTGCATGAATCTCAATTTAAAGATCAGCTTTGCTTGGATTCCAAGTCATTGTGGAATTAAAGGTAATGAAATAGCTGATACCTTAGCCAAGGAAGCTATAACTAGTGGGGATGTTTTCCCTTTTAAAAATTATACATGTGATTTGGTGAACTTGTCTCAAGATTTCCTTCATTCTAGTTGGCAGAGTAGCTGGACTGAATCAAGCCAGTCAAAAGGGAAATCTTATAGTACTATTCAACCCGCAATACCCTCAAAGCCGTGGTTTTTCAAAATTCATTTCGCTAAACGTGTAACAACATGTCTCATTCGCATGCGATTGGGACATGTTTCCACTCCAGCCCATCTTTTTAAATTCAAAATTGTTGATAGTCCAGCCTGTGATTGCGGTGCTGAAGTCTGTGACGTTAATCACATTTTCTTTTCTTGCTCTCTAAATGATTGCTCTTCTTTCTATTTAAATTTGATTTCATTACGTATTCCTTTTCCTACTTCCATTATGTGTCTTTTATCTACGAATTCTCCTAATGTATACAGTTTATTGTCTTTATTTATATTATCTAATGATGTACATATTTAATTTAATCTTATTTATATATGTATTTTCATATATTCTCTAACTTTCCTAATAACTCCCTTGCGAAGCCGTTAAAAAAAAAAAAAATTTTTTTATTACGTAGTTTGCAAGCTTTTATTTTGCTTTGTGGCAAATGCGCAAGCCGCGCGAGCCAAAAACAAACAGAAGAAGAAGAAAGTTTAGGTTTTTTATTTATCGATTGAGGCACTACGAAATCTGCCGGGTCAGCTAGTAGAAAATAAATCACCCACTACACGTGACTTGACCACAACCCGCACCTTTGATGGAATGACGTATCTTGAAATGTTTATATCATTTATCATAGCGTGCTACAAATGCGCCTCGTGTGTAAACGATGGGCAGACGACGGAAAGAAGAGATAATGCCTTGCAATTTACATTTACATATATATAGAGAGTACACTGGAAATATATCTCGACTTCAGTGAGATCAACAAATTATGTTTCGTTCACATACACACTAGTATATCGGATTCCCTTGAATATTTGCTGTATCGTGCTTGCCGCTAGGTCTTGTAGCAGTAAAGTAAGGAGGTGGTTTTAGATTTTAGATTGAACCTTTCTTATAATACAACTTGTCCCTTCGGAATAACACATTACAAACTTGCATAAGACCCGTCATGACATACGCGAGTGTGGTGTTCGTTTACGCGCCCTGCACCCACATAGACGCCCTCCAAACCCTTCAATCATGTTTTTCCAGATAATCGGTGAAGCACCATGGTTCGTAAGAAACGTCGACATACATGACAACTTGGGTCTTGAATCGATCGGAAAACAGCTGAAGTCAACGTCAGAACGGTACTTCCATAAGGCTATGCGTCATTATAATCGCATTATTGTTGCTGCCACTGGCTACTCGCTAATTCATGCTCGCGCAGCAGCCAGTAGACATCGACGCTCAAGACACATCCTTACGGATCCATCAGATCCAATAACTCTTGCATTAGACGCCTTTAGCTCTAACACTAGGAGCAGGCTTAGGGACCGTGAAAACCGTACTCGTTGAATTCCGCAGTGTTCGATGTGCAACCTAACCCATGCATCAGCCCCCGAGTTTCTCGCCGGATCACTCAGCGGGTCGTGATTTCGATCCGGTAGTAGATTAATTCGCGAAGCAGCTTTTCTTGAATTGTTAGGTTTCCTATGAAGGCGCCCGGGCAGCTGTTAGACGACCCCACCATTCCTCGCTGAGTCTTTGCTCACCCACCTGTCCTGGTGAAACTGGAAAGGCTACCGGGCCACCAGTAATCCTTCCTTGCAAAAAAATAAACTAAATTGTGAATATGTACAATATTATTTTCTACTCAATTTGAATTTCAGTTCTAGTCTGTAAACTAGCGTAGTACGTAGATATTTTTAACTATTTTACTATACGTTTATCTTATTTTCTTTTCACATTTGAATTATAGATTAACGGTGAAACAGGAAACAAAACAACATTTAAAGAAATACTCCAAGAAACCGTTAACGCTGCAACCGGAATGAAAAAAATTGGGGTGAAGCGTGGAGATGTCATAGCATTCTGTGGCGAAAATATAAATGAATTCTTTATAGGTATCTTGAGCACTATTTGCTGTGGTGCCACTGTTACAACATTGAATGTAATGTACTCGGAAGGTAAAAATAATGTATAGCAGTTTTTTAAATTTATAAATTATATTTTTCTTTAGTTGTTTTATTTAGATTTTATTCAATAAAATTATTTTGCAGATGAAATCAATCACGTTTTGAACATATCAAAACCAAGTATGATATTTGGTTCTGAAATAGCATTCAAAAGAAATTTAGGTGTTTTCAAATCACTACCCTTCATCAAAAATTTTGTACAATTGAACGGCAGTCCAGTGGAGCGGGGAATCCAGACATTCAACTCGTTATTGCTGCCAACCGATCCTAATATGTACGAGCCGGCACTAGAGGCCCGTGGCGATGACACAGCATTCATTCTATATTCTTCAGGCACAACTGGTCTGCCTAAAGGAGTAATGCTAACACATCTCAACGCTTTGTATACTTCAGAAGTTTTTGAGTAAGTTTGATGAAAGTTAGTGTTAATAAATAATAATAAATACGATTTATGCCATGCCTATGTTATATTACCCTTTAGCTGGTAATTATTGGATTTTAATACGCTTTTATTAGCTTCAGACGTGTGTATGTTTGTAACGGAATCTTTGAACATGAAGTTGACCCCCTTCAAAACGTCGGATTAACTCGAAATTTGGTTGAAGGACCGATGACAATTCAATATTAAAAAAAAATTTGAAATTCACCTAAAAAATGAAAAATAAATGCGTTGCCGGCAGCTCGAATTAAGAAAATAAGCAACTCTTTTAGGGGGCTGGGTGTACAACTTTTCAACAAGATCCCACAAAACGTTCAACTACTACCTGTTCATAGATTTACGAAAACTGTCAAGGAACGTTTGTGCAACAAGGCATATTATACAGTTAATGATGTTTTATTAGATGGCACTACGCGGGAATGCGGGAATGAGGCGTTCGCTCCTGGCCTTTTCATTTTTATTATTACTATTATTTATTTGAATTGTATTTTTTGACTTCTCTTTTCGTATACTGTAAATATTTTTACTTATTAAAAAAAAAAAAAAAAAATTGAGAAAAAAAAAAGCACGCTGAGTTTGTTTCGCCGGTTCTTCTCAGGACTGTGGCTTTTTTTAGGGAACTGGTGGTAGAGTTAACATTTTCATTTATATTTTGACATTCATCAAGTGTGTTATGCTGACATCCAAGTTGAAATAAATGATTTTGAATTTGAATTTGAAACAAGAGTTTAAAAAAACTAACAAAATACGCTTTTATAGAAAATCCAACTAAAAAATAGAAAATAAATTTTAATAAATTTGAATTAAAAATAGTGTAAAAATGGTATCAGTAATTATAAATATTTTATGAGCAGATATGAGTAGAAGGGTTATTTTGATAATATGCTGAAAAGAATATCCTGAGAAGATTATAATAATGTATATATTTTAAAACAGCATATTGGAATATCCCCACGCTTTTTTACAATAAAATAATTTTTTCTTACACTATTTTAAATTTACTAAAATTTATTTTCTATTTCTTAGTTGGGTTTTCTATAAAAGCGTATTTTGTTAGTTTTTTTAAACTATTATTTATTATATAATGTATATTAATTACAATTTCGAAAGTTATGAATATTTAATATAAATGTTTCTTTCAATTTCTATCTATTTCAGGCACGGTGAATTGAATGTTGTTGATAAAAGTTGTTACACTTTGCTTACCATCGTGCCATGGTATCATGCGTATGGATTGATGTCAACTATAAATAATGTACTTTTAAAGAATACTTCGGTTTATTTGTCTGGTTTTAATCCTTTGCAGTACTTGAAGTGTATTCAAGATTATAAGGTAAATTACAAATCTTATTTTGACAACTATGATTTTGTTCTTTCCTTGAAACAAAAAGGTGTCATGACACTCACGTTGGGTATTTGCTGCTAATTTCTATCAATTCTGCCCACTTTTATATGAATATAATGACGGTCTAGTCGATTGAACTTAAAGGTATTTCATAATTTTAATATTATGAAGGGGAATACGGACTATGTAGAATAAATAGCGTCGTGAAGAGTGGTCTACGAACTTCTATAATAGCCTCAGATTGTGCTCCAGTTTTTATTAACAAACACGTTTAAAATTTTGTCTTTTTTCGATTGCATCTTTGAAATTATCATTGAAAGCTATGACTTAATATTTTTTTGCCTTTATATTATATTATAGTATACATATTAAAGAAAATGAATTTCCTTTAATACTTACGTGATGCTATTGCAAGATCGACGATAAATTTCTAGTATGTATTTCATACAATTATGCCCGTCAAACTATCAATTCACAAACAATTAATTTCAACTCTGCACATGCAGAGCGTCTTATCACCAATTCGATTGTTAAATTTATTATCTTTAAGGTGAAAATTAAAGGGACAGTATCACATGGATGAGTGGCAGATCGCAGTTTTGATTGCATTGTTTAACTCTTGTGAACCCGAAATGCATGCTGCTTCGTAACATAAATAGGCAAAAATTTAGTACTTACCCGTGCGTGCCTTATAGACCATAAGTTTTCAATCTGATTGATGCCTTATTTAAATTCTCTTTTTCAAAGCTGTCCAATTTATATTGGTAAAAAACCAGCTATGAAAAGTGAGAGTATTTAATATTTAATTTGAATTAATGTTAAAAATTATCTTTTCTTGTAGGTCAATGTTTTATTAGTTGTTCCGCCTATAGTCGTGTTTTTAGCGAAGGCTCCAATTGTAGGAAAATTTGATTTATCTTCAGTTAACAAAATATGGTGTGGTGCCGCTCCTCTTAATTCGGAAACTATTAATGAAACTCTGAAAAGGTACGAATAATAAATACTAAATAGTATTATATATTGGACTCCATTTCATTCCAAAATAATGCAGTATTAAATGAGTGTAAGACAATGAAGACTTTCTTGTTCTCGGTTTAACATATATATTTAATATTACCATGAAGAGATCTCATTTTGAATCTTCGAAAAGTAGAGTATGTCTTTTTTCAAGCACGACCTGGGGATTCAGTTATACAGACCAATATCTATTTTTAATATTATTAACAGTCAACTTAGAGAATCGTAACTAATGGCCATTTTAAATTTATAATTTACAGATTGCCAAACTGTGAAGGAATTTTCCAAGGATACGGTATGACGGAGACTTCTCTCGCGGCGACAAAAGATATAAACAAAGATGATGTTGTGCGCAAGTCTGGCAGTGGGGGTTATGTTCTACCGGGCATTCGTGCCAAGGTACCCACTGCGCTTTTATGATTTTTCGCTTATTACTTTGCTAATATGAAAATCTCGATGCACACTCGCGCGTTGGACAGACCTACTAAAATCCTTAAAGGCCACAAACAAAGCTGATAACAAAGAGATCTAAAATGTATGATGATAAAAACCCAGGAATTACTAAGATCTAGAAATACTCGACGGCAATATCAGTAGTGCAAAACATGAAAAATACGAAAAAAATATTTGGATATTAACGTACGTCAAAACCGTTTACTGCGACATCGTTTAGAACAACATGTCGGTTTTAATAACCTAGAACAAAGGTCCCGGCTGAATGCTATATGACCGCCTTATTAAAAACATTGATTTATACGACATTGCTAATAACGACATACCTCATAAAACGACCACATTTAACTAATATTTCGGAGAATTAGATCTGTTAGAACGACCGGCTAAGCTGTATTGTAAACAACTTGAATAGGTATCCACATTTGTCTTCAATGGCTATTAAAATCAGGAAAGAAAACAATAGGATTTAGTTTAGTGTAGGGTCTTTTCTAATTCTTAGAAACAAAACACGTGCATGCAGTTACTGTACCAACTTTGAATGATGGTATCGATGCTGTTAGTATATTAAGAAAGATTGTTCTTTTTAATGAACACATCCACAGCAATTATGATTATACGTTAATTAAAATCCAACGCGAATTACATAATATCTATGCACAACAGAAGTGTTCCAAACAGACCAAAATTACAGATTTTATGCTCACAGAAAAATAATATGCATTGTACTTATGTGTAATAAACAAAATGTACATAGTTGAATAAATATATTTTTCCAATAATTCCCTATCGATTTGTTTGTACTTGCACGATACATATTAAACATCACCGGTTGTTACGGCTTTTTTTTTTTTGGTCAGGAGGAAATCGCCGGGTTTCCGCCCTTTTCTGGGGATACTGGGCGGGGTATGTCAGAGTCGAACTGACTAAAACCTCCTGTCGCTCAACAACCAACGTCCAAACCTCGCATGAGACAGAACTCATGACAAGGCAAAGGGGGGAAAGTGAAGCGTTTAGTGCGGAGCACATCTCTCCCATCACCCTCCCCCTCGGGACGCCGGACTGGCGGTCGTCGGCGCCACGACCACCAGCCCTCTCGGTCGGCAGACTGTCCGAAGCCCGCCTAGATGGCGCCGGTTAGAGTGGGTTACCCTACGGAATACCCCGCTGGGCCAAAACCAGCGTGGGTCGAGGATAGCCGGCCTTCCATCACCCGGATGCTCTTGCGTAAAACGCGTGCAGAGCAGCTTGCACGTCGTCTTCTTAGCCCCCCCCTTGCCGGTCCCCAGACCGACATGTGAGGGGGACCCGAAACACTTAGAGGGCCAGGGCTTGGGCTAGATCCGCCTCCCTGGCCCCCGCTCGACGGCGGCGGGATTGTGCGTCTCTCACGCGCCCCGCCGCCTCCTTCTGCGAGATGGTGCACTCGCAGAAGTCGAGCATCGCCTTCCACGACTCGTTGTCGCCGAGCATCGATGCCACAACACTCGGCAACGACGAGTCGGTTCCTATTTTTGCGACGAGGACACGGCGCCACCCCTCCCATGCGGGGCAGGCGATGAGCGTATGCTCTGCCGTGTCCAAGTCGCAACCACAATGGTGGCACTCTGCCGTCGGCTCGACTGTGATCCGGTGCAGGAACTCACTGAAACAACCATGTCCAGTGAGCACCTGCGTGAGCCGGAAAGTGAGGCGTCCTCTGTCACGATTCACCCAATCCACAAGGACCGGGCGAATCGCCTCGACGGTCCTACGACCAGCCGAAGGATCAGCCAGCCGTCTGGACCATGACTTCAACACGGTCCGGTTGTTACGGCTATCGGTTTTTACGACTGAATATGAGCAGTCCCTTCGATGTCGTTATAACAGATTTTGATTGTAGTTTGAATCACGACTTAGGATTTCTGTTTTAGCTATCAGAGTTCAGGGACACTACAAAGTATATATGACTGTGCACCTTGAGATATACCTACATACGATTGAAACATGAATTGCATCGATACATAAAACCTAAGTCAAATAGTAGTGATACTAATCTGTGGCTTTCAATGTGCTTATCATAAGCACATTACGAGATAGCATAGTTCATATTTTAAGATATTCAGAATTATAAGATAATTATGAGAAATTTATTGAATTAATAGAATTGGAAGGAGGAAGGAATCGGAAAGTAAGATTAGCTTCTACGATGAATGATGTTGATGAAATAATATTGTGTAATTAATACAAATGAAACCCGCAAAATAAAACTTACATATTTACTATACAATTGAAGCATAAGTCTCTAGGCGGGTGGCAGCACTGGCAGCGTTCATGTTGTTGATGTCTATGGACATGGATATTTTTTACTGGTGTTAGGACATATTGTGAGTCCGCACGGGTAGGTACCACCACCCTGCCGTGAAGCAGTAATGCGTTTCGGTTTGAAAGGCGGGGCAGCTGTTGTACTGTCAAAACTGAGACCTTACAACTCATGTCTCAAGGTGTGTTGCGGCATTTACGCTGTAGATGTCTATGGGCTCCCGTAACCATTTAACACCAGGTGGGCCGTAAGTTTGTCCACCCATATAAGCAATAAAAAATTTAAAAAAAGCTCCGGCTACCAGTTAATACCAGTCGAGCAGTGAGCTAGTTTAATACAATATCTAACAACAAAAAAAGGTAGACATGTTATTGATATTGTAAGTTAATAGAACAAGTCAAATATTTAGTAACTTAACGCTATTTAAACATTATTGTACAAAGAGTTTTCAGTGATAAAAGCTTTTGTAAAAATTCAAGGTGGTAAATATAGAAACCCGTGAAAGATTGGGACCGTATTGCGAAGGTGAAATTTGCTTCAAAGGACCCGTTATAATGAAAGGCTATGCAAATAACAAAAAAGCAACTGCTGAAATAACTGACGATGAAGGGTATCTAAATACTGGAGACATCGGATACTACGATGATGACGGCTGCTTCTTCGTTGTGGATCGACTGAAAGAACTCATCAAATACAAAGGACACCAGGTAGGTAACTGTTATCTATTTGCGTACACAGCTAGACAAGGCCCGCCCGACAAGAAGTGGCCATAAGAGCTTATTTATCGCATTATGCTTATACAAAATAAATTTGAAGATTTGTCGTTAATTAATGTTCCAGAAAAATAGCGTAAAAATAAAGCTTTTATTATATATATTTTTACTGGTGGTAGGACCTCTTGTGGGTCCGCGCGGGTAGGTATCACCACCCTGCCTATTTCTGCCGTGAAGCAGTAATGCGTTTCAGTTTGAAGGGCGGGGCAGCCGTTGTAACTATACTGAGATCTTAGAACTTATATCTCAAGGTGGGTGGCGCATTTACGTTGTAGATGTCCATGGGCTGTAGTAACCACTTAACACCAGGTGGGCTGTGAGCTCGTCCACCCATCTATGCAATAAAAAAATTAAAAATAAATAATAATAATAATAATTTGAAGATTTGTAGTTGATTGGGTTCAAAAATATAGCGTAAAAATAGAGCTAATATTATTTTGTGATGGAAAAATGAAACACGTTTAGGACGTCCGCAGAATAATCGAATTTATATGCAATTGAATATGATATGTGAGATATATGTGTGTCTGTATGTTCACTTTAAGCTACCTCACGTATTTAGCTTTCTGAATCGTATTATGGCTTTTGTGTTTTAATATAAAATTGCATTTTGTTGGGAGCGAAACTACGGTCGCAGCTAGTATTATATAGATGACTAGCTGACCCGGCAGACTTCGTAGTGCCTCAATCGATAAATAAAAGACACATCAAGGGGACACATCAAAGGAAAAACAAAATTTTCTCACCTTTTAAACCTTCCCTGAACTTCCACGAATAATTCAAGACTAAAATTAGCCAAATCGGTTCAGCCGTTCTCGAGTTTTAGCGAGACTAAAGAACAGAAATTCATTTTTATATATATAGATATGATATAATCATATTATTATCCTCTCTCACAAACTAAACGAAGTCGCTCATAATGTACCTATCGACTCCGATAACACCGGATGAGTCCGTAGTTCATAGGACATTATTATACGAGCTTGCACGGTCTGTTTGTTTATTTATTTATTTATTGCTTAGTGGTGTAGACGAGCTCACAGCCCATCTGATGTTAAGTGGTTACTGGAGCCCATAGACATCTACAACGTAAATGCGCCACACACCTGGAGATATAAGTTCTAAGATCTCAATATAGTCACAACGGCTGCCCCACCCTTCAAACCGAAACGCATTACTGCTTCACGGCGGAAATAGGCGGGGTGGTGGTACCTACCCGCGCGGACTCACAAGAGGTCCCACCACCAGTAAAAAGTTGTTCACGGTTGTTACTACTGTTTGCTGCTGCTGAGAAGTGGCCCACTTTTCGATTTGCAGGGTGGGACAGTCGTTATACAACAGCATTATTGTGACTTCGACATCATGTACCTTTTCGTTTCATAGTATACGGCACATATGTTAATAAAAATGTAGGTATCATCTTTTTTTTAACTTAAAACTAATGCGGTAATTCATTCTATCACGTAAAATGTGAGCATATATACTATTTATATAATACTTTATCTAAAGTCCATTATCATTAGATATCAACAAATAATTTACAAAGCAATGTTATCGAGCAGGTAAATAATTATCTCATTGTTTGGAAAATACATTATAGGCTCAGATAAAACAGTGCCTACAATTTTCACCTGCCGACTGATTTACTTTTTTGAAACTAGGTCGCTATTGCCTAGTTTTAGAGTAAATTTTTTTTTATATAGTTTATTAAATGTTTCCGTAATGTTAGCGGAAGACAGGATGAGATGGAACAACATGGTGAGGACGGAACTCTTACATGCAGGTGATCATGATCGTTACACTGATGAACAAGACTAGAGAATCATCAGAAGAGAAAATTTAATAGATGAAATGAATCTAATTGTCTCTAGGAATCTACTGAACCTAATGCAATGATGATTACGGAAAAATTAGGCGAACACTAGTAATACATTAAAACCTAAGCCTATGAGTAAATCTATCACAGCATTTCTTACAACGTAGAAGTTACAATAATTTATGTCTTATCTACAATATACGTGATATTTTAGCAGTTAATCTCAATATTTTTATAAGATCATAAATGGTTAACAATTACTGGCACCATTTTTTGAAGTTAATCTTTGATATATCTTTGTTAGATCATTATGATAGCCTTTGTACCTAGATAATAATTGTTGACAAGTCACGTGGCCATAGATAATGATAAGTGGGGATCAACATCCTTTATTTATTATTAAGGAGCTCATTATCACTAATGCTCTAAGTTTGCCTTCGAAACTCTTATCGGAAAACATGTCTTTTCGGATGCGCTCTCTTTTTTATTTTTTATTGCTTATATGGATGGACGAGCTCACAGCCCACCTGGTGTTAACTGGTTACTGGAGCCCATGGACATCTACAACGTAAATGCGCCACCCACCTTGAGATATAAGTTCTAAGATCTCAGTATAGTTACTCTCTCTAGCTCTCTAAGCACTAGTCACCGCTCTCGTGAGTATTTATTTATAACATGCACTCAAGGGAATCCCTGAGGGAAAAATGCCATTCCAGTACATTTTTGAAAATTTGATGTATATTCGTAAACATATTGAGGAGTTTCCTAAAAAGTCGGACATACATAATAGAAATACCTACTAGGAACAAACACAAGCTTGTTGTGCCGATGAGTAGGTTACATAAGATACGAAATTCATTCGGGTGTTTGTCTGTGCGCCTGTACAACAAAATCTCATAAGATGTTCAGAACCTACATATACATAGGTTTAAGAAAACTATTAAAGAACATCTGTGCAATAAAGCTTACTATAAAGTCAATGATTATCTAGAAGATTGCACAAAGTGCGAATGAGTTGCTCGCTCCGGGCATTTCAATATTGCAATAACTGTTACGTTACACATTGTAAAAATGAATATTTATAAAAAATTATCTAATATTTAAAACAAAAAAATCAAATATTTAAAAAAAAAGACAAGCCCGCTGAGTTTCTGTAACTAGTGTCCGTCCAATCATGGAAATTCGTACGTGACTGTTGTATCACATTTTCTCTTTTGTGTTACATAACACCTTAACGCTAAATATATTTTTTATAAAACTACAACGTACACGCACATTTACAGCTCAACATTCTTACTAAAATTACACAGTAAAGTAAAATTGTGTTAATCTGATTTAATTTATTATGTTAGGTAGCCCCAGCAATGATAGAGCGCGTACTGCTGCAACACAGCGACGTGTTAGAGTGCGGAGTGGTGGGAGCGCCCGACGAGTTGGCTGGCGAGCTGCCCACCGCCTTCGTAGTGCCCAAGCCTGACGTCACGCTCACAGAAAGAGAACTGCTAGACTTTACTAATGAACGGGTCAGTAACATAATTTGACTTAGCATTGCAGCTCACTACTGCTGCTGTGGTGGAATATTATGGATATTTTATAGTACATTGTGCACCAAGGGAGGAAATGTCCAACTTTTGTCCCGCGGTGCACATACTATTTTTTCTCCTACCAGGCCGAAAGCTCGTGGAGTACCGAGTCGGGGTCCGGGGGCGGGGGGGTAGGGGGGGCGGAGCCCCCCATACTCATACGAAAAAACAATTTAACTGTTTTTTAATTTTTTAATAAACTACTACTAATTGAATAAGAACTGTCTGATGAACTNCAAGGGAGGAAATGTCCAACTTTTGTCCCGCGGTGCACATACTATTTTTTCTCCTACCAGGCCGAAAGCTCGTGGAGTACCGAGTCGGGGTCCGGGGGCGGGGGGGTAGGGGGGGCGGAGCCCCCCATACTCATACGAAAAAACAATTTAACTGTTTTTTAATTTTTTAATAAACTACTACTAATTGAATAAGAACTGTCTGATGAACTCATCTTTGTTTAATACTTCAATATTAAATTTTATTGCCTTTTGTTTATTTCACTCTTACACTAAACACAATATTGCAAATTACCCGAGCACAACAATGGCGGAGAATTTTAAGTGCGTGAGAGCAGAAGGAGACACTAACGCGCATGCGCATTTGTCAGTACCCAGGGAGGAAAAGTTACACTTTCTTCCCTGGACAGCGGGAGGAAAACCGAACTTTCGGCGTAGGTACGAGAAAAAAGTATTATGCTAACATGAGACTGTAAGGCGTTGAAGGGTATATATAATATATATATATATATATAATGATAACGATAATTTTGAACCTAAGAATATCATGTGAGTTTGTGTGGTACCTAAAAGCAAATTATCATCATTCTTGATAGTGAAAATGAAACAGTCTTGAAGCGGTGACCGAAGACACTATTTTTAATTAGTTTATAGATATTAATTTTGCTAAGTAAGCGTGCTCCCTGCTCACTCATATTGTGTGATTATGAAAGTTGGCAGCCTGAGAACGTCACAATATGAATGCTATTGCCCACCTTGAAATAAGGTTAATACCTTAATAAATAAGGAAGGCACGATTGCGTACAGGAAATAGGTTGAATAGTACTAGCCTCTTGTTCGGGCTCCATACTCCAACGCCCCATACTACCGATGATATTATAGATATTTGGGATTAAGCAATTTGGGAAAATAATTGATAATGCTACCGCTACTACGGGCAGGAAAGTAATAAGCCAGCAGCACAATGCACCCGTATTTCCTAATTGTAAGACGGACATATTATTTGCATTGAGATCATGACCATTAGTTCAAATGGACCGATCTATATACAGTGACGTAGCCAGGATTTTCGGGTTCTAAAACAAAAAATGAAAGTACCCGCTTTTGCTTATTATTAAAGAGAACATCAAGTGCCGAGCGTTAGGTTAGACGTTTAAAAAACTCGCACTAAGCACACTGAAATATAGGTTTTATTATAAGGCCATTAAAATAGAAAGTGCAATTTTTGTTCAATCTCATTATGGGGTTTTTATGGAATATGTGCTTGTAGGAGCAGCCGTAGTTAAGCTGCTTCAACTAGCTAGATTGTTTAGACACTGGCATGAAGGATAAGTAGCATAGAGAGAATAAATATTTGTTATGTCGTTTATGTAACGTATATTGTATATAGCAGGGGTGGACAACTTAATTAGGACCAAGATCTACTGACAAAACACTGCGATCTGCCAATGACCTTTCTTGATAATGAAACAAAAACGTAGCATGTTTTCTTTTATTAAAAATATTAAAATAAACCTGAAATTATATAATAAAAGAGAACTATTGTGTACAAGATAGGATAAATAATGTAATGGTCGTTGACAAATGATACAAGATGAAGATGATGCGTGCAGCAATTGGTGATTACGTTGCGCAGTCTGTTCTATGTATTTATATTTTTATCTTGCTACGATCGACTGAACCAATAGCCACGATCGACCGGTCGATCGCGATCTACCAGTTGGCCACCCCTGGTATATAGGATAGGGTACAATATAGGTTGATTTTTTTTATTGCTTAGCTGGGTGGACAAGCTCACAGCCTACCTGATTTTAAGTAGTTTTGGAGCCTTATAGACATCTACAACGTAAATGCGCCACCCACCTTGAGATATAAGTTCTAAGTAAATTAACTAAGTAATCTAACTTAAATAACTCAATATAAAGGTAAGTGAAAAATAGCGCACAGCACGGTAAACTGTTTAGCGAATGATTGGGCTACAATCATAAGCGACAGCGACTTTGTCGTGAAGCGGTTGCCCAAGTACACGGTCCCTTTCNTTATAGACATCTACAACGTAAATGCGCCACCCACCTTGAGATATAAGTTCTAAGTAAATTAACTAAGTAATCTAACTTAAATAACTCAATATAAAGGTAAGTGAAAAATAGCGCACAGCACGGTAAACTGTTTAGCGAATGATTGGGCTACAATCATAAGCGACAGCGACTTTGTCGTGAAGCGGTTGCCCAAGTACACGGTCCCTTTCCAATGTAAGCTTTGCTTTGACATAGCTACGTCACTCTATATGTTTATCTGGTATATTGAGAATGGTTTTCACGATGGCTAAAAAATCCCTCAGTTACCAAATGCTCACTAATTTGCGTACGAATAACATATATTTTTTATTTTACAATTATTTCGTGTTTATATGCAAATAACTGTACAAATAAGCTACAAAGATAGATTTCTTATCTGTTCTAGTTGTCATCTACATCAAGACTTCACGGTGGTATTATTTTCGTCAAAGAAATACCAAAAAACGCGTCGGGAAAAATACTGCGGCGTGTACTCAAACAAAGAATTGCAGAAATGAAGAAAAGCAAATTATAATTGAAGTCACTTCAGTGGTCAATTTTATTCTGTAATATAATTTGTGGACTATCTTCTCTCTGATCAAAGGGATATAAAAACTATCATTATCCTCTTCAGTGACATTGGCACAAATTATTTATATTTTTGTCTCTACGCTAAATGGCCACATTTTATTACCTATAAGTGGGCATAATTTTCCTAATAAATATTCACTATTTCTTCTAGTTATTGAATTGTCTTCCTATAAAATGAAAAAAATCGCCATAAAGAATAAATTAAAATTAATATTTTTTTGTATTTTACAAAAACTCGTCCGCGAAGAGATTAAACTAACTGTATATAGTTAAATCTTATATTATAAAGCGGAAGAGTTTGTTTGTTTGAACGTGCTAATCTCAGGAAGTACTGGTTCGATTTGAAAAATTCTTTCAGTTTCAGATAGCTCATTTATTGAGGAAGGCTATAAGCTATATAACATCACGTTAAGACCAATGCAAGTGGAGCCAATAAAGTTGTAAAATGTTTCAAAATCGGGGTATTTTTCTCTTTTGAGAGGTTCCGCTGCGTGCGCTGCGGAAACGGTTAAAGTTATGCTAAAATAATGTATGACAAAATTGTTCACCTTTCAAATTAAAAAAAAAAGTCTGCGACAGCATATGTCTATATTTAAAGGTTGGCTCACTATAACGATTTTTATGCTAACCAAATTTGTTCTAAAATAAGGCATTATTTGTGAAGGTGTTTTTATAAAGATTACATTATTCCCTATCCAAACAAATCGTTAGTCATTACAATATTGAAACACCCAAATCACTTCAAGATAGGCTTTGACAATTATAGATTTTTCTGTATTTCTCCAGGATCCTCCAGTCGTCGTGGCCTAAAGGATAAAACGTCCGGTGCATTCGTATGTAGTAATGCGTTTCGGTTCGAAAGGTGGGGTGGGGTACCGAGACCTTATAACTTATATCTCAAGATGGGCGGCGCATTTACGTTGTAGATGTCTATGGGCTCCAGTAACCACTTAACATCAGGTGGGCTGTGAGCTCGTCCATCCATCTAAACAATAACAAAAAAAAAGATCCCATCATCCAATGTTGATGATTACATTACCATTCGGGAAATATACCCTTTCGAACAAAAAAAAGAAAAAAGAATTATCAGAATTGGTTCAAGCATTCTCGAGAAATAGGTGAACATATACCTAGTCTTGCCATAAATACTGAGACAAAAAAAAAATCTATTGCAAATAACATTTATTACTTTTACAGTGTGTTAGTTTAATACATAAATATAAATCAATTTAAAGTATCAAAAGCTTATTCGAAGTGGTCTCCATTGGCTGCAATACAGTCTTTTAAACGTTGAGGCCAGTTATCAATAGAAGCGCGCACTCTTTCCATGGGAAAATTTTTCACTGCCAATCGTACGGATTGTTTTAGGGACTCCAAATTATCATGGCGTTTAGAGCAAGCCGTACTCTCTAAAACTGACCATAAATCATAACAGCGGATTAAGATCGGGACTAGACGACGGCTAGTCTTCAGCTTTGATAAAGTCCGAAACGTTCGTTTCCAACCAAGACTGCGTAGACCGAGCTTTTTGACCTGACGCCGAGTCTTGCTGGAAGGACCATTATTGATTATTGAACATGGTGTTGTTAAGGGGCTTCACTACCTTCTCAAGAATGGTATCTTGATACACTTGTGCCGATGTTTTGATACCTTTTTCACAAAAGTATGGCTCAGTCACTCCTTCATAATACCCCACCAAACCATCAGTGAAGTCGGATAGTGCCCACGTTGCACTCTGTCGACTAATTGGGAAGCTTCCTTAGAGCTTTGAGCATAAATACGGTCATTTTGTTTGTTAAAATGTTGCTCAATTGTAAAAATCTTCTCATCCGTAAACAAAATTTTTCTATGACCTCCCTTTGCGTACCGCTTCAGTAGTTGTTTCGATTTTACCACCCTATTCTCTTTTAAATTATCAGTTAAGAAATGACCAGTACGTCTCTTATACGAGTAGGCTGCAAGTCCTAAGTCATATCTTCATCTCCCGAGATAAAATCTTTTGCTTTCGGACAGGATTTCTTCGAATTGTTTCCCTTACTGCTTTGACCACCTTTTTCGTACGAACACTACGTGGACGGCCAGATCTTTTTCTGTCCCAAACAGAGGAGGTCTCATTGCACCTATTAATAGCCCGGTACAGAAACATTTTACTAATACCAAGCGTATGGAGAGTTTTAAAAATTGCATTTGGCTCCATACCTACTTTGTGTAATGCAATCACAGCGATTCGGTTCGCTTTATCACCCCACTCCATTTTAATATCGAAAAATATTGTACAATGTATTGGCGCCAAATGAGAAAACTCAATGAGCAATCATATAAAAATGACAGATTCCAAATTCAAATGTAATATTTTGTTTATTTTTAATTGTAACAGTATTTATGGCCAGACTGAGTACATAGATAAAAAATTATGGTCGAATTGATAACTTCCTCTTTTGAAGTCGGTTAAAAAGCGTGATTTTGGTACCATAAATAGCTCCTTAACATTCTCTATGATTCAAAAATATTTTTACTTTCTACGTAAATGAAGAGGCGGGTAAAATTTTGCGTTATGCCAAAATAACTATTCCACGCGGACGAAGTCGCGGGAAAAAACTAGTCTTTAAATATATACATATGTATACGTAACGGCGGGCCGGGAATATTTAGATTTTTAGAAACCCTAATTAGGCGTAGGTGAAAATTCTCGAGAAACACTTGGGAGGTAGATGTGCCACGAACAATGATCTATTATCACAGGTACTCACTTCCGAGAAAACACTTGGGAGCTAGATGTGCCACGAATCGAGGTTGTGCGATTTAAAGGTCGCGGAACACGTCGCGCGCGATTGGTGCTTGGATCGAATGATTTTGTAGTCATTCGATCCAAGTCATGACTTACGCGAGTGTGGTGTTTGCTCACGCGACCCGCACACCCCCCAATCCCTACAATCCCGCTTTTGCAGGCTAACTGTCAGAGCTCCGTGGTTCGTGAGGAACGTTAACCTACACGACGGCCTGGGCCTCGAATCAATCCGGAAGCACATGAAGTCATGATAATCGTCTTATCGTCGCCGCTGACTACTCGCCGAATCCTGATCACGCAGGCACAAGTCGCCGTCGTTGCCCTAGACACGTCCTTACGGATCTATCAAATCCAATAACTCTTGCATTAGATACCTTCAGCTCTAACACTAGGAACAGGTTGAGGAACCCCGGTAACCGTACTCGTCGAATTCGACAAAGAGGTCGACGTGCAACCTAACCCATGCATCAGCTCGCTGAGTTTCTCGCCGGATCATCTCAGCGGGTCGCGATATCGATCCAGTAGTAGATTCATTCGCGAAGCAGTTGCTCTTGAGTTGTTAGGTCTCCTTCGGAGGCTCTCGGGTAGCTATTAGAAAATCCCACCCCTTCTGTAAAACTGGAAAGGCCTCCGAGCCACCAGTAATCTCTCAAACATAAAAAAAAGTATTGCACTGTACTGTACTGTACTGTGCCAAAGTTTACAATAATTATGGCATGCTTATTAGATTCATGCAACGACTCCTAGTGACCAAGATGACAAGCATCACGTATCCTATCCAAGTATCCATTTATTAGACACCTTTTTTTTATTATTATTTTTTTCTTCCTAAGCTGAATAAACTTGAGAGGCTATAGGTATCAGCGTAACCTTAACTAGTAGGTGAGCTCACGAGGTTCAAACCGGAGTGTTGCTAACACTGACCCTAGCAAGAGCAGTGCTTCGCAGAATCTACCACCGCATCGGAAACGCGACCCACTGAGAAGATCCGGCGAGAAACTCAGTGGGCTGTGTCTATGGGTTAATACGCTCGTCGTGCTCTTCGTCGCAAGCGACAGTTTCGACGAGGACGGTGACCCGATTAGACTGCTGTTACTTGTTAGTTGGTTCTTTAATATTGTTAACAAACGAAGCGGTGCCCCCTACGTGCCGCGGGACGCGCGCACGCCGCCACCGCCATTCCATTCCGCCCGGCCGTGCGATTACGCGCGCCCGCTTCATACAATTTTGTCGACGCCCCCATTACCAAGAAGCCTCCGTTATTCAAGAAAACACGCGCGGCCATCACAAACAATCTGCTGCCGCGTGTAATTCAAGAAGCCTCGTTAACAAATATAAATAATATTTTTTGAAGTTTTTCTTTTGTATATTAACTTTGTTCTGGAAAATCATTGACCTTCGAAAAAATAATATTGTACATTATTAAGAATATATTATGTGTGTAAATTGTAAGAATTTTAGGAAACATAAATAACTCGTTGGCCTTGTTTTTTATTGGTTTTTTGGTTGGTTTTTTTTTTAAAATCTTGTGTATTTTTTTTTCCTATTTATGCTGATAGCCTTGAGAGGCTATTTCAGCTTCGCCCTAACATGTAGGTGAGCTCACGGGGCTCAAACCGAAAGTGTTGCTAATACTGGCCCTAGCAAGAGCAGTGTATCGCAGAATCTACCACCGGATCGGAATCGCGACCCACTGAGAAGACCCGGCGAGAAACTCAGCGGGCTTGGACTCTGTTATCCGCTTTCTTATCTATGTTAATCAGAATGTCCACAATGAATTATGTAGGCTTTAAATTCTACTGCTCAAATACAATAAAATGTAGAAGGTATTTTATTATTTGGACTAGACGGATGAATGGACTTACGGTCCACCTGGTATAAGTAGTTAGTGGTAATTTTTTTAAATGGGCTCTACATATGCAGTTGAACTCTTGTTAGTTAATCTGGCTCTTAGTGTTAAGACCACCTAGAAATGTTTTTGGGCCGAATCTCTCACAGGATCCATGATTATATGGGTAGCGGATTGGTTGCGTATAGGACCCGGCATCCGGTCTACCTGGTGCTAAGTGGTTACCGGAGATCACAGATATCACAACGACAATGTCGCCACCCACCTTCGAGCGTGACGTCTAAGTCTCAATTGCATATGTGTGCATATATGTGTATAATATAACGGCTGTTCCATCTTTCATGCAATCATGCTTCATGTAATTCAGATCGAACGGTCATGTTTAGGGTTATTCGCAGTGGTGGATTTATACTAGGGGCACTCGGAGCAAGTGCCCAGGGCGGCAAAATTTTGAAAGTATAATTTTTTTTAGTCATTAAAATTGCTCAATAAAAATAATTAATTCTAATAATTAATAAAA